GTAGGACGCTGTTGTGCAGCAGCACTGGCTCATAAAGAAGTTACTGACCGATATTTCCCAAACATTTCACTGCATTGCCATTCACTGCAGTTTAAATGTAAACAGATGTCTTGGAGACACTGAATGTGTACAACCATGGCCTAAAATATTGATGATGACATTTTATTACGTTAATTTCTGGTCAGTTTGCTGCGTCAGTGTTTTTGATACAATTTGCATAAACTCCAGAATTTTATGAGAATTAGATGGATTACAATTAATAAGAATGTACCTTAATTACACCAAAATGCCAATTTCTATGTGTGAAGAACACCTTGGGAGTCCAGCAAACACCAGAACCATCGGTAGAGTAGATCAGCTGCAGGGTCGAGGCAAAGACTTTTGGAGAATGTCTTGATATAATGAAGGGCAGCAAAGAAGCCACTTTTCTCCCAAAAAATAAAAATAATCAGGACATACTAATACTCTGCTAAAGGTACAGGGATTAGAATGCTGAGTACTGGTATAGTAATTTTCTCTGATGAAGTCCCTTTCCAATTGTTTGGGGAATCTTTGAAAAAGATTGTCTGGAGAACATAACACAAGTTATTTCATGAGTTTTGCCTCATGCCAACAGTAAAGCGTGTTTGTTCATGAGAGGCGATGCTTCTCAGTCAAGGCTCATTCACAATTAAGCCTTAACCATGAATACATATTTAAAAATCCTCCACGAGCAACTCTCCCCAACAACCCAAGAACAGAAAAGAGCATCACACTTTTAGTTCTGGAGACTCCACAGACCTTAGTCCTAGAGGTCAATCCTCAAAACGCTACTGAAGAAACAAAACCCTCGCACAAATTCCAAGTATTGATTATAAGAGAATGGCTCCCATCAGTCAGGACTTTGGTTCAGAAGTTGCATGTGGTGATGCACATCAGCAGATAGACTTTGTTTTACCTTAAAAATGTATGTAATGTTTGTAATTGTACTTTATTTAATTATACCATAAAACATCTGACAAATACATCTAACAACACTGAATCCGCAAATCTGCAATAATTTGGCAGAATTCCAAGTTTCCCAGTTTTGTGTCACGTTCTCCAACATGATTACCCATAAAGACTTACAGGGGTTTTATTCTGAAGCTCAGGGTTATGTAAATATTTTCAAGATTTGAGTGTGTGGTTTTTTCATCCACCTTCACACCTCCATCACACTTAACTCACCTGCGCAAAGCAACACCCAGAAAATCGTGTTTTCACACAAGCTGAGAGGAGTTTTAATGCACGGCGTTCCATTAACCTCCGCCCATGCAGACACACAGACCAGCTAGACGAGCTGGAGATTAAGAACTGCAGCTGCTGTCCCGTGGCTCTCTGTGGGCGAGGCATGTTCTGTTTAAACAAAAACACACTCTGAAATCGCTGGCAGGTACTATTCACTCACATACACACCTTTTTTCAGTGAGCATCTCAGTGGATAACAATTACACCAATGGAGCCCTTAAATAGTAATTTCCTTCAGCCTGAATGAAAATTAAACCCTTTTTTCAACGTGAAGCAGCTAACATTTATTTGTGTTTTCTTTGTGTTGGAATCATAGTTCAACTATAGTAATTTACTTGTCTAAATTCCACAAAAGAGTGTGGTAAAATCTATGAGAAGTGATCAGATGTCATAAAACTGACTGATCTGACAAGTCGGGTAAAAATCCAGAGGCAACAGTTGCTGTCTGTTTAACACAAAGAAGCTAATAATCCATCAGGTGGGATTTTAAAGTCAGCTGAAGCCATATTCCTTTGATCAAAGCAGCTGCACCTAAATTTGGAAAAGCGCTGAACTTTTTGCAGCAATTCCAAAAGTTGTGGTTGTTTTACTATGCAGACTCTTTGTTCTTCCTCATTACTTGCACTGATGCAGCTCAGTGAGTACCCCACTGTCTGAAAGACATTTAAAAATTGACTGATGCAATCTGAGAACAGATGGAAAAAGTGAGTTCAGGTTGAGACATTACACATATTTACTGTAAAAAATAGAGAATTCCACACATTTAAAACAACTGAGCTTCACCTTCAATTTCGGAACAAGCAAACCAGTTTAAGGGACCCACTGCAAACATATACCAGTACTTTAGAGATGCATTACAGTTGTTATTTTAATCACCAACTGCTAAATGTATGTGCAGAATGAATGTACAGTTTATCCTTTAAAAGTTATATGTAAAAAAAAAAGTTTTTTTGACGGGCATGACACTGGGATTACGTTTACCTGCCACTGGGGGCACCGTTGCGGTAAAAAGTCCGTTTGGCCAGGCAGGCTGGGACTGTGTAAAATGGCAGTCTCGTTAAGTCAAGCAGCTGATTCTGAGCCCAGAAGATGTTCTAACGGTAAATACTTAGTAGAAAATTGTCCTTACCCTGCACGATTCGTCACTGGACATGGTGCTGGTTGGTCACTTCACGTATCAGCAGTGAACTAACACCTAACAGCTGGAGAATGTGTTCTGTTGATGCAATAACACCTATAAACACTAGATGTTGCTATAGCGTCCATTTTCCAAATTCAACCTTTAATTGACGCCCCCCCCCCCAAGGTCCTTTACATCACAAAAGTCATTCACCAATGAATGCACACATTCACACACTACACAAAAACTGATTTCACACAGGAACATTCCCCGGTCAGACTGGAGATCTTGTGAGATTAAACGTGCATTCAGAGTAAACAAACAGTGAAGGAGGAGCATGCTGCAACATGTTACCATCACCTCTCTTTTTGATTGGTTACATGTCACATTCGACAGGCAGCACGCTTGTGTGTCCTCAAGTCTAATATTCCTAATCTATGATTTAAGTAGTCCCGGTGTCCTTCTGAGCAAACCAGAGCGCTCTTAATACACCTCACATGGCAGGGATATCTGATAAGATTATCTTTAGAGCCATTACGGTAATGGGGTGTTTCTTTAAGACTGTCAGAAGAGGATGGTCAGGTGAATGAGGCCTAATCAGATTCTAACAAATCTCTCTGAAAGCATTGGGTGTTTATTCGTTATTGTAGTTTATGCTAGCTTCAACAGCTAATCAACATTAGCAGACAGAAGAATGGATCAAACAGTCCATTTCAGAGATACTTTGATCTGGTGTTGTAGCTAAGAGTCATCTCATCACATACTGAGGCAGTAAAACACCATGCCACATTTAATATAGTGGACTCAAAGGTTTGAAATAGCACGATCTGGAGCCTTTAAAAGTCAGCATGTCTGTTAAACTCTTGCATGTCCCATTAGTTTATGACCTGGGTTTGCATCTTAATATCTGTAAAAAATGACTTAGTTGTATATAAATGTGACTGGTGGTAAAATCTAACTAAACTTAACAAATGTTTGTGACTGGATGCATTCTTCCTCAGCGTTGTTCAAAATATGCAGTGTAGTTGTTTATCTGGTGTATAGGTTCATGCTCATTCTGTTTAGTTCTCTAAATTGTTGTATTTATTTATAAAAAAACCCCATCTGTTAAATTATGTCATTTAGGGCAAACATCCACATCTGGCTCCCTAGAGCTCTCTTCTAATGGAGAGGAAATGTAAGTTCTTTCGTAGCATCCATGCTAGCTATTCTGTGTTTGTCTCAGGAGACCACTACATCATGATTACAACAATTCTCCCAGGTACTTTCCTCATTTTACAATCATTCCAGCTTACGGCAAAGTTTCTGTACATGCAGCGCAGTAACAGCGCCTGCAATACTCCGGAGATTTTGCTTTTATATTTGCTGTTTATTGTGCAATCACAGCTCTGCTCGAGCATGTGTAAATACTAATGCTGTGTGTGTGTGTGTGTGTGTGTGTGTGTGGGGTGGGGGTGGGGGGGTGCAAGCATGTGGAAGTCACAGTCAGGCAAACGTAAACATTTAAGTTGTGTGCGTGTTTGTGTGTGTGTGTGTGTGTGTGTGTGTATGCTTGTCTTTATATGTTTAAGTCGAAACACTTAGACTTTAACCTGTAGCCCCATTGGTTATGGGTTAGGGTTAGGGTACGGGCAAGACATAGTGGAGTCACTAAAATCAATGGAAGTCAATGGAGGTCCACACAAACATATAAATACAAGTATGTGTGTGTGTGTGTGTGTGTGTGTTATTGTTTGAAATGGAATCCGCAGTCAATGTGAAATTGAAGGCACCAATTCTATAATTTAATTGATAAATCTGGGTTGAATTATCTCAGAGAGACTGCTACCAGGCCAAATGAGAGTATTTGTGTGAAGAATGACGGAGAAATTTAGGTTAGAGTAAAGGACAATGAAAAGAAGCTCATTGTTGTACAGTCTGAACAGAGGAAGGGGTTGGGCAAAGTGCCAGTGCAGGCAGCGAGCAAACAGAGGATTTAATTAATCAGGTCCTGACTGTGTGACCAAACATTTGCCCCCTGTCTTCTTTATTCACCTTCCTTCACCCCCCACTGGCTCTTCTGCCTCCTTCCTCTACATCTGTAGCCTGGCAAGCCATCCTATATAAGTGAATATATACAAACTTTGCAAAGCAAGAATTTGGTCTAGTTCACTAGGCTACTACATCTGAACATGAGTGGTTTCATACTGACTTGTAGGTTAATATCATTTTATTCATTTTTATTTCCTTCAGTTATATTTGTTGCTCATTCTTCAACCATTTTAATCCATTTTTTCCTGTTTTACTGACTCAAGACAGTAATATGATTTCTATAATAGCTGTTCTGATGTATCTTTGATCAGAATGGGTTACGGGGTAAAACAGTTTCCTATAAGCTAAAGGTCAGAGAGCTTTGCAGAAGTTTGAAAATGTTTTAAAATTTTATCATCTGTAAATTCAGGCCAGTTCTTCAAGTTTGTGTGTATCTAATGTGCAGCTCAGGTAGAGGAATTTGAACTGAATGGCATTTCTTGCAGAAAACAAAAACATCAAGTTTTCTTGGAAACAATCCCATTATCTCTCTGTGTTAAATGTGAACACACCTAAACTCAGAATTGAACTAAATCTGATGTAC